TTTTGGTAAGGTTTGATTAATAATTTATGAAAAAACTGTGATAATGGCGTTTTTTTTTAAGGAATTAGCAGTGTTTAATTTGCGTGTTTTGTTTTTTGATGCGTGCAAGGTTACAACCACATGCATGTATTTTCCTGTATTTGTTTCTTTCATTCCCATTTGAAACTCTATAATGGTATCAGCCCAAAAATCTTCACCATTGAGACCTTTTTATTTTATTTTGTGGTGTCTTTTATGTTTTTGTGTATTCTTTTTATTTATTGTCGATTGATTATATTATATGGACTTAAATAATAAAATTATTATTATTATTATTATTATTATTATTATTATTATTATATTATTATTTATTATTATTATTATTATTATTATTAAAACAATTCATATCTGGAATTCACCTTGTGTACCCAAAACACTTTCCTTCAAACTGTCCTGTTGCTTTCATAATGATAGATCAAGACTGACTTGGGTTGGAGATTTGATGTGTGATGATGGGAAGAGATGGGATAGAGAACTGATTATGCAACCCTTTCAATGCTTTTGATGCAAACACCATTCTCCGGATCCCTCTTAATTACCAGAACTATAGAGATAAAATAATCTGGCACTTTGATAGTAAAGGCACTACTCGGTCAAGAGTGCCGATAATGCTATAATCTCGAGCATCAGAATCAAGTAATCACAGGAAAAACTCAAGGAGAATGTGGAAGATAACATGGGGGTTGACTCTTGAGAATAAACTCAAGAACTTCATGTGGAGATGTTGGAATGGATTCCTAGGGAGACTGGCTAAACAAGAGAAGAAAGGAGGGAAGGGAGATTGTAATCTGTTGGGGAGGAAAAAGAAGACCAAGACCTTTTGTTCGTCAAATGTATTAGAGCCAAAAACAATTTGAAAGCTGACGGGGATAGAGTGGAAGGGCATTGTAGAAAGAGGCTACTCTTTTAAAGATTGGTGGATGGAGATATGCTGTAGTGAAGTTTTAGACTGTTTGAGGAGAAGAATGGAGCTATCAACATACCTTTTGTAGTATCTGGAATATACAAATGGTATTTTCAGAGGTGAGTTGCTAAATGAGAGACAGACAGTGGAGAAGGCTAGTGAGTATGGAGAATTTCACAGTATAAAAAGCTCTGAGTTTTATTTCTTCTTGTAAACGAATCGAATCAAAGCGAATATTAAGATATTCGATTCGAACTCGTTAAACTATTCGAGTATTGGGATTCATATTCGATTCGAACTCGTTAAACTATTCGAGTATTGGGATTCGTATTCGATTCGTAAACGAATTCATTTTCTGATTCGTATTCTATTCATTTAGAATATTCGAACATAGAAATTGGTATTCAGAAAAATATTATAATTAAAAAATTATAATTACAAAAATATGTTTTTATGTTTTTCCTATCCAATTTGAGATCTTTACAAACAACAACAACAACAACAACAAAGCCTTTTAGTCCCAAACAAGTTGGGGTAGGCTAGAGATGAAACCCAATATAAACAGTAGTAAAAAAAAAAAAAAAGATTGGAGCAAAAGAGAAAGGAGCAAAAGTCACGGTTCCGGCACGTTGATCGCTAGTCTCCAAGCGCTCCTATCCACCGCTAAATTCTTGGAGATATTCCAATCTTTAAGGTCTCTCTGAACCGACTCTTCCCAAGTGAGTTTAGGCCGACCTCTACCTCTCTTAACAACATCGACCCGCTGTAGAACTCCCCTGCGCACCGGTGCATCAGGAGGCCTCCGTTGGACATGTCCGAACCACCTCAGCCGATGTTGAACCAATTTCTCCTCAATTGGGGTCACCCCGACCCTATCACGAATATCCTCATTTTGGATTCTATCTCTTCTTGTGTGCCCGCAAAACCGACACAACATCCGCATCTCTGCTACACTTAGTTGTTGGACATGTTGCCTTTTTGTAGGCCAACATTCAACACCATATAGCATCGCCGGGCGAATCGCCGTCCTATAGAACTTACCTTTTAGTTTTTGTGGCACCCTCTTATCACAGAGAACGCCCGAAGCTTGACGCCATTTCAACCAACCGACTGCAATTCTATGCCTAACATCTTCATCAATGCCGCCATCCTTTTGTAGCATCGATCCTAAATACCGGAAAGTCTCCTTCTTGGCCACCACTTGCCCGTCAAGGCTAACATCACCATCATCATGAGTAGCCATGCTGAAAGCGCACGTCATGTACTCGGTCTTCGTCCTACTAAGTCTGAAGCCTTTCGACTCTAACGTGTCCTTCCACAGCTCTAACTTCCTATTTACCCCGGCCCTACTCTCGTCAACTAGCACCACATCATCAGCAAAGAGCATACACCAAGGGAGATCACCTTGTATGTCCCTTGTGACCTCATCCATCACCAAAGCAAATAAATAAGGGCTCAATGCTGACCCCTGGTGTAGTCCTATTTTAATTGGGAAGTCGCTGGTATCGCCCCCACATGTTCGAACACACGTCATCGCATCCTTGTACATATCCTTCATGAGGGTAATGTACTTAGATGGGACTTTGTGCTTTTCTAAGGCCCACCACATGACATTCCTCGGTACTCTGTCATAAGCCTTCTCAAGGTCGATAAAGACCATGTGCAAGTCCTTCTTTTGGTCTCTATATCTCTCCATCAACTGTCGTATTAGGAAAATCGCCTCAATGGTCGACCTTCCAGGCATAAACCCAAATTGGTTTTGGGTCACACTCGTCACTCGTCGTAGGCGATGCTCGATAACCCTCTCCCAGAGCTTCATCGTATGGCTCATCAACTTAATCCCACGGTAGTTACCACAGCTTTGAACATCACCCTTGTTCTTGAAGATCGGTACTAAAGTACTTATCCTCCATTCATCAGGCATCTTGTTTGACCGAAAGATGAGGTTAAAAAGCATAGTTAACCATACTAACGCTCTGGCGCCCAAACATCGCCACACCTCAATAGGAATACCATCAGGGCCCATTGCTTTACCTCCCTTCATCCTCTTCATAGCCTCTCCGATCTCTGCCTCTCGGATTCTCCTCACCAAGCATCTATTGGTATCCTCAAATGAGTCAACCAACTCCAGGGTAGGACTCTCACTCTCCCTTTAAATAATTTGTCGAAGTACTCTCGCCATCTGTCCTTGATCTCCCCATCCTTCACCAGTGGCCGATCCGACTCATCCTTGATGCATTTGATTTGGTTGATGTCCCTTGTCTTCCTCTCCCGAATCCTAGCTATCTTATAAATGTCCTTCTCCCCCTCCTTCGTGCCTAGGCGCTGATAGAGGTCATCATAGGCCTGACCCTTCGCTACACTCACGGCACGCTTTGCAGCCCTTCTCGCTATTTTTATAGCTCTCAATGTTGGTTGCACTCTTGTCGAGGTGGAGACGCTTGAAACACTCTTTCTTCTCTTGAATAGCCCTTTGCACCTCGTCATTCCACCACCAAGTGTCTTTTGCATCCTGCTTGCCTCCCCTACTCACACCAAGTACTTCTGCAGCCACCTTCCGTACACATGTTGCCATCTTTAGCCACATGTCATCTGCATCTTCTCCTTCTTCCCAAGGCCCCTCGCCTAGCATCCTATCGCTAAACGTCTGCGCCACTTCCCCTTTAAGCTTCCACCACTTCGTTCTCACGGTCTTTGGCACATTTGTCCCGGTGGGATCTTTGTAAGAAAAAATATTAATTTGGGATGTTTTTTATTTTTTATGTCATAAAAAATATTAGGAATATAACAATATATATATATATAATATTATAAACAAAATTTATACTATATATGATCTTAAAATTTATGTAATTATCATTAACAATCGAATATCGAATTTCAAATCGAATAACTACAAATTTGAATTTGAATTCGTTTAACTTTCGAATATAAAACATTATTCGTATTCGAATTTGAATTCGAATATTTCGAATTCAAATCACGAATATCGAATTCGAATAATAAATATTTGATTTGTTTATAAGTCTAGGTTGGACTGCATCATTCAATTGGTGTTACATGCTAGTTCTCTTTTGGTATGGTAGGGCATCATTCAATTGGTGTCAGATGCTAGTATGGTAGGACATTATTCAATTGGTGTCGGTGTCTGCTTAACTAGCATTGAAGGAGTGAACTTTATAAGTGTGGCTTGGGCTGGGAATTCCATGTTTCAACAGTGGGAGTGCTCTATAAAAAAACATTAGTGATCCAGTGGTAGCATATTTGTGTGCTGTAAGATGGTTCTTGGTGCAAGCTGCTGCTATCAAGTGGAGTTGTATTGTGTTGAAGATAGATGTGAAGGATATTGTGGACAAATTGATATTCAGGGACTTTGATTTGAATTTACTCCCAACGGCCGATGACATCTATTGTTCGCTAGAAACTCTTCAGTGTAGTAGTTTTTGTTTTGATGTAAATGCTTGTGCTTGTTAGGTTTTGGGAGCCTATTTGGCTGTGGAGGGGGAGTTCTCGCTGTGTAACTCCCCCGCTAAGCTCTTTCTTCTGTTTGAAGCTGATGGCTTGGTTCTTAGTCCGGTTGGACTATCGGTTGTATATTTTTTCAGAGTGAAATATATTTACTTCTTTGCAGTGAAAAAAAAAACTGCATTTCAGGAGAAAAGGTCAAAATTTGGATGATGCGGAAAACCTAACCTCGTAGATTTCAAAATTTACGAAGTTATTAAATCTTGTTTTTCCGTCTTATTTTACAATAGATAGGAGCATTCGATCCAACTTGTGAATGTATTACCATTGGATTGAAACACATATCCAGGTGTGCGTTGATCAAACAATAAAAGTTGATCAAACATTGAAAAATATGATGATTGTAATGCAGTCACTAATAATGTAAAATTTAGTTGTATGTTTTGTACGATATGACATGAAATGTCATTAGCCATACATTTCTCCATATGACATGAAATGTCATTAGCCATACATTTCTCCTCACAATTGTGGTGCAACATGTCCAAAAC